CACCGTAACGAGCGGTTGATTATGGAGGGCTGCGGCGGCGTGGGGTCGAGCCCCCATAACATAGCAATAAGGTAACGGGAGAGGTGCGTGTTCAGTCGCCACCCACCGCTGCGCGAGGCGTGGTGACCGAGGCGCCTCAAACGGCCGTCGCCGTTCAGGCAGTCAAATAGTCACCGTCGTGTCGGCCGTATGTATTGAAAACTCGCGGAGGCGGCAGTCTGGCAGTCTGCGCCAAATCGCGCGTCCGCTTGCCTAATGTTGGCGCCTTGCCGCAGCCGCCCTCAGTCAGCAAAGCGCCGTATCCCCTTTGTGAAGTGTCCGTGCCCACATTTCGATGCTCTTCTCTCTAATCGCCGTCGAGGCGATGAAGTGTAAAGAGGAAAACTGCGAGGTTGGCGTGATTCTCGAGCACAACTCTCTGATCGTGCTGTCGGTCAACAAGACCATCGTCTGCGTTTGCGGAAGGGATCGCAACAATCCCTTCGAGCGCGGGTAATTCTCATCGTTCTGCTTGTGGTACGATGCTTGATTACATCACTTATATCCTGTGTGCTAACGTAACTGGCGATTGCATTTAATTGTCACTGTTTTACAAAGTGGGTTCAAATGCATTGTTACATCGTTGTGCCACACTGCAGTTTAATTCTGTGTCAAACTTAACAGGCGTTAGACAAACATTGAGATTTTAATTGTGATGTCAATTATTTTCTGCAGTGAGAAACTCGTTTGCAGTCATTCCAATACATACCGTACAAGGTTGTCTTTTACCTGGTCAAGGCGAATTCCTTCTCCAATTGCAATATTTGTCTCTGCGCGTGCACATTACATTACCTTCAATAGTAATAAGTCATAACATAACCATACCCACAATTTCAGTGCACTGTGATTGGTTGTTTTATATAACAAGCGGTTCTATTTAAAACCAGTCTATAGAATGAGTCAGATGCGAAAACTCAGAATTGGAGTGAACAAAAAATCGATAGGTACTGAACTAGTTGCAGAAAGCCGAGTGACGATCGAAAGACCGGGCAAGGTCGCGGTCGAGCGGACATCGCCTCCGTTAATAAAAGTACCCAAACTGGGTAATTACCCTTACATTTATCATATGGAAATTTTAAGTGTGATATAAAAAACGAATACAACCGGCTTTAAAAACGAATGGAATCCCAACCGTTCCACCATTGTTCGATTTGTTGCTCCTACTACGATTCAACTCGGGAAAGGTATTGTAAAGATTTGTTTCCATTCATGTCAACCAAACAGAATATCTGATTTCGTATACAAATTTATAAGGGCTTTATTGTTGTACGAAGTTCACGGTCAGTATAGCGGAAGACAAAGGAGCCATAAAACGATAATTTTATTATCTTTAATATTTATTCAAGTGACAGTAAGCGGAAATAAAATGCCGAATATTTGATTGAAATAGACGAAATTAATGGGCCATAATTATATTGAAAATGTAGGCTGGTCTGCTTCACAGCCAAGTAGCGACGGGTGATTTTGCGCCAGACATAAACAGTCTTGTAAAGTAGTAATAAACGCGGAAGACACAAAGACACGTAAAAAAGATTGAAGTATAAACCAGTTAGGTGTTTTAAACACATATGTTGAAAAAGGTTGTTGAAACTGGAGGTTAAGCTTGATAGCCTTCTGTCTATATCAGTAACGAGTTAACCTACACTGACGGCCAGCAGGTGTGTGCCGATACAGTGCAGGTGTGTGCAAAACTTTCTTCCCACGTTTTATATAACACTGGCATACTTGTAAACAAACTTAGTCCTCCTTAGAATCAGCATTTTAAAACGACGGGAGTCTCGAAAGACCCGAGGCCAGATTTCGTAAAGTGACACGGATTCTCTTGGCACTATTGCGGCAGAATGACAAAAACAAAACATTGCAAGAATTATATTATTTGACATTTTTTGTCTTGTAAATTACTTTTTGTCACTTTTACGAGTAACAAAACTTATTCTGTTTGATTGTAGAATCAGCTTAAACTATTTTGTATTCTCTTTTACTAGGAATCAATGTACTTGCTATTCATATTTTATCTGTAAACACAATGCAATAAATTACCACATTGCAATCATTGACTTGCAATGCACTCTTTTTAGTATATCCGAAACGGCCAGGTCATAATACCGTTACTGCTTTGTATTCATGCGGTTTGTAATGCGGTTACGGATTAAAAACTCGTCATAAAATTTAAAGAAACCTTCGTGGCATTTTCTTGCTGCGGCGTCAAATCGATACACGTGTATGCAAATTTAATATAGACGCGGTATATAAATAAGTACATACACTGTTGGTTATCGATCTTTAACTGCCTGCTACGTCTTTTACAAATACTGGAGTTAGAAAAATCACAAAACAATTAAGCAAATTATACAATGAGACGGAACAAAAGCAAAAAATATAATTATGATCAAATAGATTAGGGTCAAACTTTTTCTCAGATACAATAGATATAACCTAAAAGTACAACATTATTCTTTGACACACTTATTGCCTATTACGAAAAGTACGTATTTATTATCTTTAATAACATTTCATTCAATAATACAGCAGTAAATTGCAATGATCGGACGATTGGTCGTGGCTTCACCAGCCATATTAAATTCGTACCCCTGTTGACTCCCATCATGAAGCTTGACGTCAATAGTGCAATCGAGCTCTTACATATTTCGATAAACCTCTATCAATTTATATTAAATAGGTTCTGTTGTCATGTTACCAGCTAGTAGTTCATGTTAATATGTTGTTTATAGAATAAGAATGATAATGATAATTCAATATTAACGAAACGAAAGAATATTGTTGTAATTTCGTCTCCAAACTAGCCTTTTCTTTGACTCATTTCTACCACTTATTATGAATCAAAAAGTTGATGTGCTTGAACGTCATATGTAAATCGTCAGTGTACGTTAGGTCAAAAATATAGATCAGTCGATTGGAAAAATTCCTCAACAATATTATGTTTCAGACGAACACTGATATTATATCAAAGGTGATTGACGTAACGCGTATCAAAACATGTTGCTATAGCATAAAACCATAAATACCACCGAATATAAATTATCTTAATTACTCTTAATTAATAAACATAGTAAGATAAAATATAACAAAAATGATTCAAACGTGTCTTCGATTATCTTACTTTTGTACAATATTCGGGTCAATTTAAGATTCCATCTCGCCATCCTTAGTTGTAATTTGCTTTTTAGGAGTTTGTTTAGGTGATCTCTAAATCAAAGGTTATCAGGCACTAAGAGTTAACTGCAGTTCAAATGGTGATGAAATCAATGTAACAGTCCCTCATTGTAGTTGTTCTGGAATCAAGGTTTGAAAGTCAATCGAAAACAATCACTAGCATTCTGCTGCAAGCGTATCAATTATTCTCGTCATAACTATACCTTGTTCTTTGTTATGGTTTAGATAAAGACTTGGAAGCGTGACTTAGAACAATTTTACTAGCAGATAATGCCATGTTTCACTTCTATCGATAGAAGCAAAATTGTTTTTCAAATGTTCACTGTACGTGCCTTTTTGCCTTCTCTTTTGCAATTATGTGTCCGTTTCTAATGTTCCGTTTTAAGTTTCACAATAACTGTTGCTTTGTCTGCATAATCCAATGTCTTCATATATTTTGTAAAGGACCGACCGAAATTCTTTCTAAATAATAATTTGATCTCCTCTAGACTTTTTTCAAGGGCAACGACTTATAATGGCTTACTACCTGTGTTTTTTGTACCCGGGCATTATATTCAAGTCAAAAGCCTGGAGCTTTGCTATAGTTAAGAACGAACTAAGGGCATTGCACCTTCCCGCTCTCCCTTGCCCTGCAGCCCTACTTTGCATTTAGGAGTCGAAGGTAGTAAATCATCGCCTCTTGTTCGTACTTACGCGTGCAAGTGTTTGGCGGAGAGAGATGCAATATCACCATTTGCTGCGTCTACTTTATCCATGGGCTCAGCTGTGCGTGTAGTTATAGCTATGTGCACATTTATACTTCGTGGACTTTGAACTCGGTTAATGGTGAAATGCAGAACGTTGCCTCTCCGATTTGTTGCTATCTACTGATCGATAATAATATGGGCTCGTTATATTAACTCGATATCTACAGCAGGGGGCCTGTTCTCTGTTTACTTGCGTAATTGTTTTTACCTATAAAATTGTATGCTTGAATATTTTATGTAACATATTTTGTATATAGTTGTAATCTAAATACCCAACAAGGTGGAATACCCACAACGCAAGAATATAAACGACGATAAAACCAGTTTTCTAACATTTTTCACTCACAGCCGTAATCGCATAACGTTTTACCTCAATTCGATGACGATCGAGTCAATAAAGACGAATTAATTTTATAGTTCAAGTAAGCGGGACAAACCAACGGTCTGTTCGACCTGTTGGGTGCGTCATTATCACTCACTACGAGTGCGGTATTCACCTCCACCACAGTTTCGTAGTTTTTCGCGGAAAACGGCCACATCGTCAATCTGGCCTCTCCCCTCCCGGGCACCTCCACACCCGCGTTGGCGCCGCGTCACGCGCGCGTCTATAAAAGCCTTGCGCTCCCCTCCACGATAACTCAGACGCATGGAGTACTCCGTAGAGGTCGTTTGGCACGAGCGAGCGCTTTGCTAGGCACCTGCCGGCCAAGTCTTCACGATACAAATCTAGTCACCGCGCAACTGAAACTCGCGTAACGCGGTCTGCCGCGCGTTCCTATGAACAGTGATAAGTGCAATAAACCCACTACAAATTAATTGTGATAATTTATTTAAATTAGTTATTAGGTTACGCGCGTCGATTTGACCGCGATACGGCTGTGAGTGAAAACTGTGGATTCGTAAAAGTATGTTGTGACTGCCTGACTGTAACTCTTTACCTGTGATTCAACCCAGTGTGCTCAGTTACTCTTGCGTTGAAGGACTTATTGCCACCATGGTTGGAAATAACGGTACTATGATGGCGATTCGCATCGTCCACAGCAAGCTGCGAAAACGGGAAGAGCACTCCGCTTCGGTGCACCCCGCCGAAGTTCTGCAGGCACCTACCGTGCCGCCCCCGGAGGCGCTTGCCTTCCGTCAGCAGCCCCTGTGGCAGTTCCCTCCGCCGCTGCCTCCGCCTTTCGTCTATCCTCACGATCAGGTCAGTACCACAACCACCCCTTTCTTGTTTTCATATTTAGATTCTTGTCACGCAAACAGGATTCTTATTCTGAGAATGCAAACTAGTTCCAGCCGTTATTCTTGACCCCAATGCTATTTTAATAAGCCAGCGCGCGCAAACTATAACACATTCCAGTTAGCAAATGACGTTGCCTTGGCAAAGTTTCGATCAAAACAATATGGAAAGTTGTACCTTGGGAATGATGTATTGTAATGTAAAAGAAATCGTGACTGGTTCGACCCGCGTCCCCGCCACTAGGCGCCACAAGAGAGAGAGTCGGTTACACTCGCAGCTCGGTCACGATATCTAAGTGTGAAATAAATTTAAATGTCGGGACACGCTTACGAAGTAGAAAGCTGCGCAAGGCGAGCATGTTGTAACACCTCGACCTTCTTTGGCTGTCTGTCGAACAAAGGAGGCTAATGCGAACAGCGCACCCTGAATTTGCAATATCATTTCAACCTTAATATCACGCTCTGTTTATCGACTCCCGAGGTTAATAAAGCCGCCCAGTCGGATCAATTGTGAACAGACGCTGACCGATGATTGTAAAATGTTTGCATGACCACACATCGAGGCGCCGCACCAGGAAGCCGAGAATGCTAATGTGCCTTTGAATAGCGCATTCAAGGCTCGCCTCGTACTCGTATGGCCTCAGTTTACTTAACAATGCTTCCTACACTGGTTAGAAATGTTCTCCTTAATAGGAAAATAATATCCCATTATAATTTGAAAAAAATAGGGAATGAAACGGAAACAAAGTGTAGTCGTAACAAACAATGAATGCGAACAGAGCCACAAACAACCTTCGTAGTTTTACAACACGACCTTACAAAGTCTATTATGATTGTCTAGGTAGCGACGAAATACACCATACAATATAGTCTTAAAATAGCGTGGGCATTGTGTAACGGCTGGAAGTTATTTCGACACTGCGAATGCAGCAAATGCATTGGAGACGGTAACGGAACCACTAAATCGGGCTTCAATCCTTAAGGTCATTAAACCCTATGAACGCGCAACAGATGTCTTATACGTTAAAGAGGTCATTGGACTAAAGACTGTTTTTCTTTCTTTATAGGACAACTTGATGCAGCCCATTGGGAACGAGCGTGCGAGTTTCCGCAGCCTTCGCAAGAACATCGGCGGTCGCTGGAAGCGACTGGTGAAAAAGAAGCCTGAACAGGAGGTGTACACGATTCCGCCCGAGCTCAAGCCTCAGCTCAAACAGATATACGTGTATTAACCTAAGCTAGCACGCTATTAGAATCGGCACAGAAGCAGGACACTTCACGCTGAATAGGCGATGACATCAACCACTCTTCCTTGGTTGTACTTTAAGCGAAATATATCAATCATATCTTTTACTCGAATATCAAAATTGTATCAAACATCTGCACGGCTCTGTTGCCATTTTATCTTTGAACATATCGTTTCGACCAATTAATTCTAATTACCAATATTACTAATTGAATTTTCCTTTCATTCAGCACTATGTTGTGATGTATAAAGCCTAGTTTCGTATTATTAAGTATTAGAACACTGATGATTGTGAGTGTTTATTCCGTTGCAGATATCTGATTTTTTGTGTAAGCATGAGTGATAGTCAAATGAATTTAGTTTAATTAATTTAAAGTTATGAATGATTTTAGGAAGATGCGGTCGCGCATACTAGTGACGAAAATCCAATAATTATGATTAAAATTATGATGCCTTGTTAAGTGTAATTATGACTATTAGGGCATTTTGTAGTTCAATAACTTATTCTAGACATGATCGTGTTTGTAGCTGAAAATCGATCAAATAGTTTTGTGGAGCTATATATACATGTAATTCGTTTGTATCTATGTGCGATGAGATTGTATTGTACAACGTCTTATTGTTTGATGCAGTATTTTTATATTATTCATTCGTGTTGTGAGCGAGACTGAGATATGGTACAATTTTAATATGTAAAGTGACCCTTGCTGTTTAAATTGAATATTTTCTGATGTTATTGACTGTAGAATTCCATTTCAAGAACACAATTTCACTGTAAACGAAGAATTATGAATGACCTAGTAGAAGTTGCATGTTGTGGTAGTGTAATTTTCAGATTTTCGTCCGGTCCTCGCTGTGATGTGTAGACCAATTGGAACTAGAGGCTTAGCACATCGAGTTGAAAGACAAAATGCCTTTAAATTGTCAATTAGAGCCGTCACGGTGCGAAGGGCCAACGGACGAGAATTTTGATAGCTCATATTGAGCCTGATATTGAAGAATTAAGTTGAGATAGCTAATAGGTACAATTCAGCCATGATGATTATCGTTTTAAATCTAACTATTGCAGTAGACAAACACCATGTTATAACAATTGTAATTTAACAGCGTGAGAAGAAATACTATTTGTTTAGAAAATGTAATCTTTCATTGAAATAATGAAAAATAAATTCCATCAAGATAAATATTAAAACTTTGTTTCTTTGCCTTTTGTCCCTCCTTAAAGACTCTAACAGGAAACGAAAATAAACAATATTGCAACTTAAATAGTAACTAAACATATTACAAGTAGTAAAACAATCTATAAAAGTTGTTAACGCAGCACAAAAAGATACAACCACGATCCGATCATCTGTCAATGCAGTTGGTGAGTATGTTCCTACATACGGATGAGCAAGCATCTCAACTGTACTTGACCTAGAACACCTGACCTAGACATAAAATAAAGGCGAACACGAATATTAAAAAGGTTAACTTCAGACGACTAAAGAAACTAAGAATAACTGTAATCCAGGCAACGAATTTATTAATGAGTGCTGTGTTCTGTTTGTAAAGAAACCAATGCGGCTTCCTAAGAGCCTATGTTTAATTAGAGCAGGCCGAAATTATAGATATCAGTTAGGGCAGAACCCGTAACAATCTAACAATCGACATGATTTTAAACTTAACTAAAACAGCTGTGTATCTTTCATACCTACACCCAATAGTCTACGATAAATAGCAAGATATTAAATTGTAATCAATATAACTCAGACGCATTACATTGATTAGAATGGCGACGAGAGAATCATAAGCAACTATCTATACAGTAGTCTGTCGTACTCACCTAACCTTAGCCTACTTGTTTAGAATAGGTGGAAAATGTTTAGTAAATTGACCTAAATCAACACATATTTATGTTTACGCCCTTCGATTCCGATTGGGATGAGCAGAGAATATCGATTGCTACTTAGCGTGATCCTGACCAACCTTTCTTGCCTCACTTACATTCAATAGGCCCTCTTATTCTTCTCACTACGCACTCCAGCCTTTTTAAAAACACTCTCAATTTGATCTGAGGATGTTACTTTTCCAATGATGCCTTTCACGTTAGTTCTATATACTTCTTTCATTAATTCATCCGCTTTTTTTACCTAAACCACTTCAACAGGGTACGTTGAAGTGGTTTTCTATTTCTGCCACTAATTTCGCTTTCAAATCACATCGTTTACGTTCATCTTATTTCTATTGCATTCACTCTGTTCTCGTGCTTTTTCCACCATACCCGACATTTACTTCCATACACATAGCGTTGGAACCAACACAGCATCAGCTTTTGACTTTTGTAAGAAAAGCTAAATAAAAAAATCATTACCGTGTTAGGTAAATAAATATACGATACTGCCCTCCTTGTCATTTATGCACATGAATTTGGGTGACTTTCGAAATATTGGCACCTAAAGTATTCATTTTCTTTGGAAAATGTCAATTACGCAGATTTTGCTTAACTATTAAACTGAAACTAAATTAGATATTAAAAACCGATTAGACGGGGTTGTAGCTGATCATAGATATGCTATAATCTCAATTTCTCTAAAAATGACGATTGGAAACGAGGGCAAGGTAGAATTGAGTATCTGAGCAAAGTAGTCAAGTATTAACAGTCAAAATTCACGCATCAGTTTGAAGTTACAGTCTTAATTTATCTATGTTAAGCAAACTGAACTCGTTATTTTTAAGGCGTTTGCGAAAAAATTGCGAGCTGCCACCTATGTTACGGAATTCTAGCTGACTCCTCCACTGGTACCTGATAAGAATGCTGATACAAATCAATCTATCGCTGATGTGCTGTATAAACACACGAGGCAATTAAACTCCACTTCCGGACACGACAGGTTGACGCAGCTCCAGGTAAACGAAACTACCACTTGGTTTTAAATGTTCTGAGCTTCTCAGAATTGTTATAAACTGTTGTTTCTTCTTCCTAAAGTTTTATACCTATTTATTAGATATGTTATATTACGAGTTGAAATCTTACACGGTTTCGTAACAAATACAACGAATATTCGCATTAAGCATATCATGTTTTAAATTATAATAGGTTCTCACCTTTTTTTGCGGCCGAGAATAAGTTTTCAGTTTTGGAGTAGCGGGCTCTGGTGTGGTGTTAATCTCCATCAAATTCACGTCAATCTCGTTTACATCTAGATCCCAGGAAAGTTTACCGAATTCCTCTGTGTTTATGTTTTGCGTGGTCACCGTGTCCTCATCTAACGCAATATCGTTTCTAGAACATAACTTGATTTGCGGTGTCAAATTTGGAATCCCAAAACGTCTTTTGAAATTTTTTATCCAGCACATACTGGCTATAAAATATGCTTTTTCTCCATTTTTGCTATAAAGACTCTTATGCAAGGCCAGAGCTTTCTTTCGTAACATTTTGTTAGTTATATGTACACCGCTCTCCCGTTGACTTTGAAACCATTCGTGTAACGCATAGTCCAGTTCTTCAAATTTTGGCCGTTTCATATTGACGCGCACGGCGTAATCTACATAATTTGAAGCGAATTTTTTTAAACGCTCTCTAGCACCCCAAATGCTCATAATGCCTAAGTCGTCCGTGCCGTATTTCACAGCTAGCATGTTTACATCGGCACCCGCCTCGTATTCTTCCAAGATGTCCAACCTCTGCCTTACTGTCAGTCTTAAACGTTTAGTCTTCATTTTTGCTAATTGAATCGACATGTACACTATTTTATATCTGATCAATACCGATAAAAACAATAAACAAACAAAAATACTGTACACATAGACGTATCTAACCTCAAACTATCAAACTGACAGTTAGGTCTGCAATGCAGCAAAATTTAGTAAGCCACAAAATTCAATGTACTGTGATACTTTGTCAAAATGTAGATGGCGCTGCTATTTCGACCAATCAAACAAAGTCATTTCTTATAGTTTTGTGTTTATTACAATAAGTAATGACATATTAGATAAAAATACTATAAAACAATGTACTCACTCATATTAATATCATTTGCTAATGTTAGATTCTTGTAAAAATTTTACAACACTATGTCGGTAAAGTAGGTATGACAGTCGCCAGATACTTAAAAGGATTAAGTTTATGAGAATTATTTGTTTACGAGACAAAACTACATTCGTGCTAACTAAAGAAACATTAAAGGCAGGATTGTAGTACGCTAAATGAAATTAAAATTTAATTCATATTACTGTTATTCTCATTTTTAATTTTTTTATAAATTACGCCATCTATCGAGCTATAAAATAACCACAGCGAGAACTAGATGGTGTCAAGCCGGTATAGTTAGTTATAGGGCTGTGGAGTTCATCTATAGCCTCACAGGTGGCGCTATATACTTAGGTCTCGCCTCACCTGTCTAGTGCTTTGCAAGTTAGTTAGTCCTTAATTAGAAAGATGGCGTTGTATAAAATAATTGTAAATGAAATGTAAGCATCACTTGTTTCTGTTCCGACCACAATGTCGAAAGTAAATAATAACTTTAGGCATGATTTTGATGTTGTTTGTTATTATACTATCAGAAGACATGGTTATAATTTTTATGACACCTTATAAATGCCACGTCTTATGTTATTTTATTATTTGGTTGGGGTTTAGCATTAGACTATTTTTCCATCCTATAAGGGTTTAGCATTTACTAGGTACGTAAACAGATGTTTTTTTTTTAATGGGAGAGTATGGGTAAATCCGAAACCATAGAAGATACAAGGAAACTGTCTTATGAACCATTAAGTCTTCTTTTGTGAAAACAATTTTGGCGTAGTCAATTTTTTTTTGTCAAGCGTGAGTTGTCCTAAATGAATTTGGTTGTCCTGAATGAAATTGGTCAAATTTTTTTTGTGCTAATCGGCTTTGTTTCGTGAAAGGATCATTTCATTGTATGGGACGAAAAAAATCGAGACAGCCAATGTTGGTCAAATTTCATAAAATAGAGATAAAATTTTTTTCAACAAAATGAATAAAATTGTCAATTTTTTTTAAATGCTAATATACTCAGTTTCTTATAAGGTTGAGCCAACCAGTCATCAAGAACTCGAGATCAATGCAATAAACACAAACAGTTAGTTCAGCCGTAAGTAGTTGAGGAGTTGAATATTTTACCAACTCCCCTCGTTGCAATATCAGATCGCAGCCACCATATTATTGTCGTAGAATTTCCATAGTATACCATTTCAAGTTGATCAGTGGAAGTACTGCACTAACCAGGAATAGAGCTGATGATATTTAAACGGTTGATCAGCATGTTCATCAGACATAGCAAAGAATCATCCCGATTGAATTAGCAGGACCTCAATTTTCTTCAAACCACTGGTGGTTGGTTATTGTAATTTCATTAAGACTGAGATCATATTGCTATTACATCGAGTATATAGCTAGAAAAAGAGACGAAATGTCATTTAATTTGTTTGAAAACTATTCTGCCAAATCATTACTGTGACAACCGCGCTCCGATTGACCATTTCACTTCAAATCGACCAGTTTAACTTGAGCTTTGCTTTAATAGACGAAAATTGCAAAATTACCTATTTAATATTTAATTACCGATGAAATGTGATTAGGTGTTTTGCTGTTTTTTCCTACACCACCGAATTTTTCCTACACCATTATTAGAGATATTATCTTTATTACAATAAATATAGAATATTTTTAGAATATACGGAGACGTACACAAAGGTCAGTTGTTGGCGCTGTACTATTTCAGTTTTCTAATTCGTAACTTCAGCGCAAACGAGACTTGATATTTGAAAGTGATAAGGTCCATTTGCCTGATGAGTCGCCAGGGATGGATGGCCGTAATTTCGTCTCTATTTCTGGTTATATACTTGATGTGCTATTAGGACAATATTTGCTATTATGCTAAAATAAGCTAAAATCTAAATTAAAGGTAGTGATGGCATTCATTCATTCAATCACAGATTATCGATGTAGCTTTACTAAAACTACCATAGAAACCACTAAGTATATCTTCATTTTTATCTCGTTCTTTTTATGTCAAATAATTTGTAGACTACGTCACCGACGTGCCTTAAATTCGTGATTGAGGAGCAGAATACCGAAAAATTGCAATGGCAGTCGGTTACTCAGCTTGGTTGCTAGCCACTAACAAGTCTGACTGACTCTTAACTCTTAGCAGAATACCACACAACTGAGATGATTTAAAATTAGTAGACTTTGGGACCCTGGGCCTACCACAACCTCTTAAAACAATATTAATTACTTTAGCCTTACATTGACTTTTCATACCATGACGCGCTTAAAGTTTGTAAGTATTCATTCACTCAGTTCGTAGTAATGACGCGATTTTAACAATAAAGTATTTTTTTTGTATTATGTACGCAGCAAACAAGCATACGGCTCGCCTGATGGAAAGCGGTTACCATCGCTTATGAACGCCTGCAACACCAGTGGCGTTATGAGCGCGTTGCCGACCCTTTAGGACCCTTGAAGTACTCCATGCTGTATTCCTGCGGGAAAACCCCGACAGGGAGTTCATTCCATAACCTAACTGTACGTGGTCGAAAGTTCCTCTAAAACCGTACAGTACGAGATCGACTCGGTTCCAGAGTGTGAGGATGGACTCCCTGCCGGTGGCTAGCGGTGCGATGGTAAATTGTTGCTATTGGCATCATGTCAAACAGTTCTTTAGAACATTGGCCATTGTACAAGCGATAGAACAGATATAGGGAGGCAAAGTCTCTCCTTCAAGACAGTGGTTCAATATCGTCTGTAAGCACAGGATCGTCAACAATTCTCGTAGCACGTCTTTGAACCGCGTCAAAGGGCCCAAGCTGGCATCCAGAAGCTGCCGCCCAAAGACGGACGCCCAAAGAAGTATTTCATGTGGGGATGGACTTGTGACTTATAAAGTAGCAGTCTCTGCTCCGAAGTGAAATACCGCTTAGCCCTGTTGAGCACACCAAGCTTTTTGGACGCCAGCTTGACTTTGTCATCTAACTGACTACGGAACTGAACGTCACAAGAGATGTCGACACCAAGGATCCCGATGCTCTCCGAGATATTTAATGGCTTGTTCTGGAACTGAAGGTCTGCAGAAAATGGAATATTTTTAGCGGTGAACGCGCAAACTTGTGTCTTGGTGGGGTTAAATTGGACTAAGTTTAGTCGTCCCCAATCAGAAACCCTCTCCAGGGTTTTTTCTGTTTGTGACACAAGTTGTTTACGGCTCTCTTCTATGAAAGACCAAGGGGACTAAGCATGCCCAGTGTAAAGGTGTCCACCGTGCTGTCATCCGCGTAACAGTGAATGCCGTCAGTAGACAGCATATCATTCATGTGCAGCAAAAACAGCGTTGGGGGCAGCACAGAACCTTGCGGGACGCCAGCGTTAATATCCAAACCGTCATAGCAAGTACCGTCGACGACGGCTCTAATGCTTCTGCTGGATAGAAAGCTGTCAACCCATTTGCATAGCCCCTCGGGTAGCCCGTGTGATGGTAACTTCGAAAGAAGACTTCGATGCCAGACCAGGTCAAACTCTTCGCCATATCTAGGCTGACAGCCAAAGCCTCACCTTGACTCTCAATGGCAGAAGCCCATCGGTGAGTGAGATACACTAAAGGGTGACTGATTAGGTCGTGACCTTCTAGGTATTTAAGGAGCTGGGCGTCGCATTTGGTATATAGCAGAGCCATCCCAAAGGTGGCAGCAGTACTCCATGCACAACCGGACTTGTACTTGGTACAGCCGAAGCAACGCCTCACCCTGGAAAGGATGCCAAGCTTCCTTGCTGCATTTTTGACCATGGATTCAATGTATCTGCCGAAGTTCAAATTGGACGATAGATCCATTCCAAGTAACTCCCCTCTTTTTAAGTTTTACGCGATTTGTACTCTTATCCACAATATACATATGTATGTGTTCATTGTCTTCATGAATTTCAAATTCGTTTTTATTCGTCTTTAAAAACACGAATACAAATCGAAGACGATCCGCAAAGCGCCTAAGGCTTTTCTGGAAACACGTGACGCGGTCTTTTTGTTGTGCTTTGAATAAGCCTCATTGCGGGTCGACAGTTCCTTCCCTCATTATCTCCCCTTCATTATTGCAAGGCGGAACGTGTCAATCTCACTGCTGGTGGATTAAAATTGTTTCCCAGGATTATGGGGTTGATACAATTTTGTCTATGGTATTTTGAGGTAACTTTAAGAGGTTCAATTAGTTTACATACATCGCAGAGCTTATTCTGATGTATTGTAATGTAAGTTGACAATTACGATGTTTGTAGCAGTAGCTCTTCATACCCTTAGTTCACACTTGTCGAATTATTTTCTTGTTCGGTTTACCGTATACCTAGGTTAAAAAAAACGTACATGCGTTTACATCTAAACGTTTTGTGAGTCAGTTTTCTGATACGGAAAAACCATTTCGGGGCAGAGGCCGGAAATTCAGCTGCAACTATCGTAACACAAAGTTTAAGATGGACGACGTCGTTGACGATGTTGCTGCAAGTTACGAAAATCCGAACCGGGTGATTGGGGCTGCGACAGATTCGGTTTTTTTACCGTATGCCGCTCACGATTTCCGGTGACAAGACACGGCAGCGAAGATAAACGAATCGTTTTTTTACTGTATAGTGTGATTTCACC